GGGGGGCACAGGTGACATCAGGGAACGTCAAGTGTGACGAGGAGACGAGCTGCCCCGACGGGAGCACGTGCTGCCAGCTCAGCCTGGGCACCTGGGGCTGCTGCCCCCTCGAGCAGGTCCGGGGGCGTCCCTGGAGTGTGGGGGTCCCAGGGGTGGGGTGGGGGTCCCAGGGCACGAGGTGCTAGGGATGGAATGGGGGGGTTCAGACAGAGCATGACTTTGGGGCCAAGCAGGGCTGGGGGGAGCAGTGAATCCCACACTTTGTCACTGCCACGTTTGTCACTGCACCCTCCTGCACGGAGGCTCTTTGGGCACCTTGGGGACAGGGTTTGGCACAATCCTGGGGCTCTGCTGGTACAGTGGGACACACAGAGTGGGGGGTGAGGATGGCACCCAGATGCCCAACTGCCTGGGGTACCCAGACACCTGGATCCCCCAGACACCTGTGTCCCCTGGACACCCGTGTCCCCCACTGCTCCCAGCCTGTCCTGTGTCCCCCCCAGGCCGTCTGCTGTGGGGACCACAAGCACTGCTGCCCCCGGGGCTACACCTGCAACGTGGCCACCGAGAGCTGCGAGAAGCTGCTGGCGCCCACCCCGCTGCTTCCAGCACCTGCAGACCCCCGTGGGGCACCCTCCCCCCTGCGCTGGGCACCCCCCGTGCCCCCCGCCCCGCTGCGAGCCACCAGCACCCACCCAGGTGCCCCCGTGCCCTGCGGTGCCGCCAGCTCCTGCCGCGGCGGGCAGCGGTGCTGCCGGGCCCGGGGGGGCTCCTGGGGGTGCTGCCCCTTCGCCCAGGTTAGTGGGGGGACACCAGGGTGGGGGTCTGGGTGGCATCACCCCCCTCCCCTCCTCACCCCGTTTGTCTCCGCAGGGCTCCTGCTGCTCCGACGGCCGCCACTGCTGCCCCGCGGGGTCCCGCTGCACGGGGGGGGGCTGGGGGTGCAGCCCCCAGCGCTGGGACCTGCCCTCCCCCCCTGCCAGGGAGCTGCTCTGATGGACCCCCCCACCCCGAGTGCCTCCACCCCAATAAACGGTTTCTAGGAGGAACCCCACCCCTGGTGCTGGTGTGGGGGCGGAAGCGGAGGCAGGAGGCAGAGGCTGGGGGGGATTTTGTGTGTTTAATATATTAATGCCTCTAAGGAGCAGGCAGGACGTGCAGGCAGGCGCAGGCAGCAGCTCCCTGCCCAGCCTGGCACCTGGGGGGGTCCCCATGTCCCCCCCCACTGCCAGCCCGGCCCCCACTGGCCCTTCTTCATCCTCACCACGTAGAAAACGTTTAGAAACACAATTAAAATCCAAAGGGGGATGAGGTGGGGGGCAGGGACAGGGACCCCCCAGGCTCCTACGGCAGCTTGGAGGCACCACTGGCTCGGGGGGCAGTGCCAGCCCCCCCTGTCCTGCAGGGACACAAACAGGGACATGGCTCAGGACTGGGGGGGGGAGCACATGGAATATGCATTTCCCACCCCCCAAATGACAGGTGGTGTCATGGGGAGGACACAGAGGGGACAGGGCAGGGGTCCCAAGCAGATGTGGACAGAGGTGGCCTGGTGGTGATCCCTGTGCCCCCTCCCCTGGCTGGAGAGTGGGTGGGGGTGGGACAGGGACAGGGGCAGGGAGGGGTGGTGGCAGAAAGGGACAGTGGTGGCAGGGTGGTGTGATGGTGGTTGAAGGGGGTTGTGAAGGGGTGGGACAGTGATGGGACAGGGTGGTGGTGGGCTGGACTGGGATGGCGGTGGGCTGGGCTGGGATGGCAGTGGGATGGGACAGTGACGGGAGAGGACACTGGTGATGGAATGGGTGACAGCAGCAGTGTACCCGCCATCCCAACACACCCTCCGGGACTTGCCCCCCCTCCCCACACTCACTTGACGTTGAAGACCATCAGGGGTCGCTCCTCCCGCTTCTGCCAGGGGCTCTTGCGGTCGCCGCCCTCGTCCCCCCCATCGCCCGCCTCCGTCAGCGCCTCCTCCTCGGGGCTGGTCAGGGAATCTCGGGGGGCTTCGCTGGCGCTGCTGCGCCCGCTGCCCCCCCCCCGCCGCCCCCCGCTCCCCGCTTCCAGCAAGGGGGCCAGCGAGCTGTCCTCGGGGGAGGGGGCGGGCAGGGGGGGCCGGGGCCCCCCGTCCTCCCCCCCGCCTGCGGCGGCCCGGGGGAGGCGGGCGGGGGGCGCGGGGCCGGGCCCCCTCTCGCTGCCCTGCAGGTCGATGTAGGAATGCCGGACCTGGGAGGAACGCCCGTCCAGGGACACGAACCAGGCTCGGGGAGGGGGGGGACCCCCCAATTCCAGGAGCTGCTGCCCCGCCAGCGCCTGCAGCTCCCCGTTGAGCTGGGCCACCGCCGACCCGTCCAGCAGCACCGGGATGGCCACCGAGCCGCTCACCGGTTGGGGGGCACGGGCACTCCCCCAGTTTTCCCCTTCCTCAAAGGGCTGCCCGGAGGACGGGGGGGCCGGGGGGGCGGCCGTGGCTGCCGAGGAGCTGGACCCCCCATCGGATTCGGGGGGTCCCTCCGGCTCGCCGGGCGCCAGGCGCATGTACCGGGCGGGGATGAGCAGGGTGGGCATCACTCCCCGGTAAACATCCTCGGGACCCCCGCCCCGGTCCAGGGGCCCGCAGAGCAGGAGGGGGCCGGGGGGCGCCAGCGAGGGCGGGCGGGGGGGCGGCTCAGGCAGCGGGTGCTCGGTGGGCTGCCCCCCGTAGCGGGAGAACCCCGAGGGCGAGGGGGGCCGCGGGGGGAAGGCGGGGGTGCCCCGGGGGTGCTGCTCCTCGGGGGGCTGCAGCCCGTCCACCGAGCGGGCGGCCCTGAGGCCGAAGGCATCTCCGGGGCGCCCATAGTCCTCCGTGGCGGGGGGCTGGCGGCGGCGGGGGGCCAGGGTGGCCGCGGGGGTCCCCCGGGGGCCGGCGCGGAGCGGGGCGGGGGCCGGCGGCTGGAAGAAGTCCGGGCGGGCCGGGGTCAGCTCGCGGGTCGGGGGGGGCAGGCTGGGGGTGGGCAGGTCGGTGTCCCCCCCCGAGGAGGCGGTCTCCAGGTGGCTGCCCCCGCACAGAAGGTCCAGCTGGGACACGGATGTCGCCTGGTCCCGGCGCGCCCCGTCCAGCGGCCCCGGCAGCGGCAGCTTGCGGTGCTGAGCACGGGGCTTCAGGCACCGCCGCCTGCGGGGGGGCAGATTTGGGGGGCACCCGTGGGTGCGGGGGGCACCCAGTACTCCCCCCCCGCTTCCCTCGTCTGCTGGAGGGAGCTGGAGGAGGGGGTGCTGGGGAGTGGTGTCCCCCAAATCCAGCTCTAGGGCACTCCGAGTGCTGGAGAGTGGTGTACCCCTTCCCAAATCATCTCTAGGGCACCATGGGGTACTGGGGAGTGCTGTGTGTACCCCAAATCCGGCTAAAGGGCACCCAGGGGTGTTGGGGATGGTTGTCCCCCCTCCCAATCCTGTTCTAGGGCACCCAGGGGTNAGGGCACCCAGGGGTGTTGGGGATGGTTGTCCCCCCTCCCAATCCTGTTCTAGGGCACCCAGGGGTATTGGGGTTTGGTGTCCCCCACTCCCAATCCAGATAGAGGGTATCCAGGGGTGCTGAGGATTGGTGTCCCTCCTCCCAGTCCAGTTCTAGGGCACCCAGAGGTGTTGGGGATTGGTGTCCACCTTCCCAATCCAGCTCTAGGGCACCCAGGAGTGCCAAGAGGGCGGTTCCCCTCCACAAATCCAGTTAGAGGGGACCTGGGGGGTGCCACAGGGTGGTGCCCCCTCCCCACAGCCAGCTATAGGACACCAATGGGTCCTGGGAGGTCGTGCCCCCCGTTCCCAAGGGCAGTGGGGTGGTGCCCCCTCCCCATAACCAGCCATGGGGATGCCAGAGAATGCTCCCCCCAGCTATAGGGCACCCAGGGGTTACAGTGGGTGCTGACCCCCCATTCCCACATGGAATGTCGGGCGGGGGGGGAGGCAGGGGAGTGTTCTGTTCCCACCCCCCACCAGGGTCAGGGGGGTGCTGACCTGCAGTAGTAGATGAGGAGGCAGAGGAGGATGAGGACGAGGAGGGCCAGGGCACCCAGGATGGTGAGCAGGAAGATGGTGTGGTAGGTGGTGATGTCCGTCACACCCGCCGCCATCGCCACCAGCCCTGGGGACAGAGGGGTCAGAGGGGCAACAACCCCCCCAAGGGCACCCCAGGGGGCTGCCACTGCCCCCCTGGACAGCCCTGGGGAAAGTGGGGTCGGAGGGGGAGCCCCCATCCCACCAAGAGCACCCCGGGGTGGTGCCACTCCCCACAGACAGCCCTGGAACAGGCTCGGGGGAGAAGCCCCCCACCAGAGACCCCAGGACGTTGTGACCTCCCCCCAGCCTCAGACAGCCCTGGGACAGGGGGGTTAGAGGGGAACCCCCTTCCACCAGAGCACCTCAGGGTGACGCCAGGCCCCCAGACAGCCCTGGGGACAGTGGGGTCAGAGGGGACCCCACCCCACTCAGAGCAGGAGGCCAGGAGGAGCCAGGTTGGTGGCACCCACAGGTTGGTGGCACCCACAGGTTGGTGGCACCCACAGGTTGGTGGCACCCACCAGTGTCACCTCACCTGTGCTGGGGGAGGGCAGAGCCGCCGCCCAGTATCCCAGCTGGGAGGAGACGAATGTCCAGTACAGCTGCCGGCCTTCCTTGCGGATCAGCCCCGTCCCGTTCCGGACCCACAGCCCTGCAGGGACACCCACGCCGGGCTGAGAACCCCCCAAACTCATCACCCCCCCACCACCACCACCCGTGTCACCCCTCTGCCACCCCCCTGCCCCCAGAAACCCCCAAACCCAGCACTCACCGCTCTTGGGGTCAAACCTCCAGGCCGGGACGCTGGTGGCCACCACGGCCGCGGCCTCGGGGGCCAAGGGGACGGACAGATGGACGGGGCCGGCCAGCGGCACCTCGGTGCCGTTCCCGGTGAAGAGGTGGACGCTGAGAGCCGCCACCGGCGCCAGCTCCAGCCACGTGCCATTGGCTGCGGGGACAAGGGGACATCCAGAGGGGGGGACGCCAATGGGGCCACAGCGTCCCACGTGCAAAAATGGAAAAATGAAATACAATAAATCAAAGTAAATAAAAAAATAAAGTAAAAAAAATATAAAATAAAAATATAAAATAAAATATAATAAAAATAAATAAAAATAAAAAATAAATAAATAAAATAAATAAAATAAAATATAATAAATAAAATAAAAATTTAAAAATAAAATGTTTAAAAATATCATTAAATAAAAATAATTTATAAAAGAAACTTTAAAATAAAATAAAAAATAAAAATGAAATAAAATAAAAATAAAATGAAAATTAAAAAAATAAAAAATTTAAATTAAATAAATGAAAATAAAAATAGGTAAAAAATAAAGTAAAAAAATAAATCAAAAAATGAAATTAAATAAATAAAAATAAAAATAAGTAAAAAAATAAAGTAAAAAAATAAACCCAAAAATTAAATAAAAATTAAAAAATGAAAATGAAATTTAAAAATATCACTAAAGAAAAATAATCTTAAAAGAAAAATTAAAAGTAAAATAAAAAAACAAAAGTAAAAGTGAAATAAAATAGAAATAAAATTAAAATTAAAAATAAAAAAATTGAAATTAAATAAATGAAAATAAAAATAAGTAAAAAATAAAGTAAAAAAATAAACCCCAAAATAAAATAAAAATTAAAAAACGAAAATGAAATTTTAAAAATACCATTAAATAAAAATAATTTTTTAAAGAAAAATTTAAAATATAATAAAAATTAAAAAATAAAAATGAAAAATAAATTAAAAAATAAAAATTAAAATTAAATAAAACTAAACGTAAAAGTAAAAACAAAATAAAATTTAAAAAAAATAAAAATTGAAAATTTAAAAAATAAATTAAAACTAAAAATAAAAAATAAAATAAAAAGTAAACATAAACATAAACATAACAATAAAAATAAAATAAAAAATAAAATCAAAGTAAAATCAAAATAGAATAAATTTTAAAATTTTAAAATAAAATATAAAATAAACATAGAAATAAAATAAAAATAAAACCACAATAGAATAAATAAAAA